CGTGCGCATTAGAAGCGCAAGGAAGAAGCAGGCCGTCCTTCCTGGGTCCCCTGTGGCCAGTTCCCAGGTGGCCTCCGCCTTGACCCCCCGTACACCCTGGAGGGTGGGACATCACCCTGGGAAAGGCAAGCAGGCCACACGCCGCTTGCACCTGGAGACGCTGGAAAGGGACCCACGTTCTGGGCAGCCGACAGGTGCTTTTTTCGAAATTGGGGCTGAGACCTGGAGGGCAGGGTTCTCAAGTTTTCTAACATGTGACCACAAAGGCCGCTCTCAAGGCAACACTCCCTCCTTCCCAACTGTAGAGAAAAGGGCTTGAAAACAAGACTGACATTGTGCCGGCCCCATCCCTGCTCCAGTCCTGTTGGGACATCTGTTTTTCCAGGTGTGTCATGTGGCCGAAAAGGGACCTCACCCTAAACCTGGCAAGCTCAGGGGAGGCCTGCCTGGCGGCCTGAGAAACTCAGAGACCTGAAGTGACCACATGGGACCGTCAGAAATTAAAACTTTTTTGTTGTTAATCCTCACCTGAGGATATATTTTCCATTGCTTTTTTAAGACAGAGTTGGAAGGGAGGGGGAGAGACAAACATGATGTGAGACAGACACATCGATTAACTGCCTCCCACTGGCGCCCCAGTCAGGGCCAGGGATGGAGCCTGCAACCCAAGCACATTGGCCAGAATCGAGCCCTGGACCCTTCAGTCTGCCCGCTGACATTCCAACCACTGAGCAAACCAGCTCGGGCTGAAATTAACACTTTATAACCAAAAGTCATGTCTTAGGGCAATATTTTTTCCTATCAAAGGCCTTAAACTGATTTAATGCTCTGCTGTCAATATCTGAAAAGTCAGAATAAAGGTTTGAAGAAGTCCAAGTTTTATAAGATTAAAAAAAAAAAAGTTTGAAGAAGAGCCCTATGTTTTCACTGGGTCCCACGAATTATGTAGCTTTTCATATGTCCGGATGGAAGGAAATGACTGATTATGACCCGGTAGTCTTGCACCCAGCTAGAGGCTGACCAGTGGGGCCAGGCCACATAAAACCAGCAGAGGCCTTACAGGGGGCAGCCAGGCGGGAGAGGACGGCCTCACTGGGAAATTAAAAATTCTAGCTGCGGTGATGAGCATCAGGGCCCCTCCGGTGGCCCCATTTCCAGTCGTAGGAAGAGGGTAAAGGGGTGTCCCCCCCCCCCGGCCCCCCAAGGGAAACGGCAATCCAATGTCTGTAATTCCCGAGGGTTATGTCCCAAGGAGCTAGCAGCCCCTTGGAAAGCTCTTTGGTGCTTTTGCCTCTAGCACCTTTAGACAAACATAAAATTCAAGTCAACAAGCGTGCCAGGAATAGAAGGATAAACACCAGTGACCCTGGGCTCGGTGACCTTACAAAAACAATGGGGGTGATAAGACTGTACAAAAATACAAAAATAAAAGACAACCCCAAACTCGCCTTACATTTCCGAAGGACTCATGATTCCATCCAGGGATTTCAAGAGACAGAGAAGAAGAGGGGTGAGAGAGAGAAAACTTGATGGCAGAGGTGAACTTGGAACTCTGAAGGAAGGGTGACATTTGAATAACAATAGTAATGGTAGCAATTATGAGTAAGCCCCTAGGGTACCTGTATACAGGACTTGTGTGGGCTCAGTGGTTAGACTCATGGACTCAGCCAGACTGCCTGTTTTCATACCCAGCTTCTGCCACGTAGGAGCTGTGTGACCTTCAGCAAGTTACTTAAGCTCTGTGCCTAATTTCCTCGTCTTTAAAACAGGAAGGAGAGGAATAGAATTGACTTCATAGGGGGCTCAGACTTAAATGATAGGACGGCGTTAAAGGTCCTGGGACAGATACAGACACTTAGGAAGTGCTTCAGAAATGTTAACCATTAGTATTTAGGGAACTACGAGCCCAGTACACAGGCTCCCGAGCCTACCTGGGAAACAATCACTAAGGAACTTTTTAAAAAATTGACTTCAGAGAGGAAAGGAGAGGGAGAGAGAGAGAGAAACATCAATGATGAGAGAGAATCATGAATCGGCTGCTTCCTGCACACCCCACACGAGGGATCTAGACCAAAACCTGGGCATGTGCCCTGACCGGGAATCGAACCGTGACCTCCGGGTTCATAGGTGAATGCTCAACCACTGAGCCACACCGGCCGGGCAGGAACTCATTTTTAAAGTGAATTTCTGCAACACCAAATATTGGCGAAGATATGGAGCGATCAGAGCTCTCCTAGGTGGCTGGTAGGACACCCCTGTGGACATGGTCTGGAAGTTTCTCATAAAGTTAAACACCCACCCACCCTATAACAGCCACTGCACTTACAGGGATTTACCCAAAAGAAATTAGAGGCTTGCATGGGAATGCTGATGGCAGCTTTATTCGTCGCATCACCTGTCGCTGGAACAGTCAGATGTCCATCACCAGGAGGCTGGATTAGAAAATGATTGTGACCCACACAGCGGCTGCACTCTGAGGCCCAGCTAACCTCAGAAGCCCACATTTCCCGTCAGAGCTACCTGTCCTCCCTCTTCTGATTGCAGCTGGCATTTTACTTTCAAGAGAAAAGAAAAAAGAATGCATCTCTTTTATGTTTCACAGTATGTTTTCATGCACGCAGACTCCTTCCTGTACTGGTAAGGGGCATTTTTTATCGTGTGTCCGTTTCTTTTTTTCTTCCCTAGCAAAACACCCAGCTTCCCCAAGCTGGTTGCAGGCTAGGCCTAGCACGTAGGCAAAGATGCGGGCGACTACGACATCATTTACAGGAACAGCCTCGTTTAAGTGGTGGGACTTTTTCATCTCCTCCAGGAACTCACTTCTGCTTGCTCAGCCCTCCTATTCATCTCAGTCAATTTTCCTCTTCACCGGCCTCTCCATTCACCCCTCCAACCCTCTTCTCTCTGACCTGGTCTGGTTGGGCCAGCCTTGCCCCCACCAAACCACACCCATCGTGCCGGTCTGTAAGGGTGGCCCCAGCTCTGGTTCCTTGTGGGCAGGCTCTTTGCCTTGCTTCCCAAACCTCCTCACTTTCACCCACCCCGCCTTTCTCCAAGTCTGGACCCCTGAGCATCCCCCGGTTCATTCTGTAGCTCTCCGGCATGAAAACCACTTGTCCTTCCGCCGCTGCCTTGCATCCGTGTGACATTCCGCTGTCTGGCCTCCCCGCCAGGTGCTTCCCCGCAAGGCTCTGCCCACTCGGTATTTTTAGAAACGGAATGTGTTGTGGTTCCCTCTCAGGAGAGACGCTCAAGTCACGCGTGAGTTAACCCTCACTTCGAATGGGGAATGAATGACCAATGAAGCCACTGGCTGGGCCTTCCTGGGCCCCGTGTCTGTGAACACTTTTGAAGTACGCAGCATTTTTATTTTTATTTTTTGACACCCTGAGTTATATACAGCTACAAGCAAAGCCTGTCTGTTTTGCATGTGCTTGGGGGCCACTCAGCCAGGTGGTTCTTCTGGAACATTCCGCTGACAGGTGTGGGCAGGAACGAAAAGAGGATATGAAATCTGGAGGGGAAATTGGGAGCTGACTGGGCAGTGGATTGAGGGGGGGGAGAGATAAGAGAGGAGTCCCTGCTCTGGTGGTGGGTGTGGCTGTGGGCTGGGGCCGGGCCCTGATGACCCACCTGCCTGAGGGTCAGGGTTCCCATGCACACACAATGGGAGGACCACAGGGAAAACACCCCCCCGCCCCTCACACACACACACACACACACTGAAACTCACTAACTGGAGCACTTTACATCCAAGGCACAGAGAGGCCTCTGTGGACTGAAACGTCTCACCTTCCCAGTGCCCTGAGCCCTCCTGATCACTCAGCAGAGAAAGTGGGGGCCCACGGGGTGGGGCACTGGAGAATGCGTTCTCCACCCCACCCCCCAGCAGCCACGACATTGACCAACCAAGTGTGGGCCAAACCACAGTCCTCAGCAGGCCAGCTGGCTAGTGACACCTGGTCTGGGCCAGTTCTCTCCTTTCACAGACTGAGGCCCAGAGAGATCAAGGGGTGTATCGAGGTCACGCGGCCAGTTTTGGGGGGAGATGGAAACTCAAATCCACTTCCCCTGGTGGCCACCCTATCCCACTCCACCTCTTGGTTTGAGGCAAGATTAAAAATCCTGGGAGACTTTTCTAACACGGAAGAAAACAGGTTCCCGGTGAGTCTGCAAACACACGTAAGAGAAGCAAAGGGAAAACGTCTCCAGAAAATACTCGTGCAGCGATCTGACCACATGACCATAGACCCGTGGAAGCTCCGAAAAGTTCAATCCAGGGCTGAAAAAACAATGCGCTCAGCAGAGTTGAAAAACAGTGTGTTCCCAAACA